CAACAACAACAACAACAACAACAACAATATCAACAACAACAACAACATCAACAACAATAACAACAACAATACATCATCAACAACAACAACAACAACAACAACAACAACAATATCAACAACAACAACAACATCAACAACAATAACAACAACAATACATCATCAACAACAACAACAACAACAACAACAACAACAATATCAACAACAACAACAACAACATCAACAACAACAACGACAACTGCACTGTACCTGAATGAAAGCTGCATAGCTATTCCTCTGCTTCCCACTAGGAAATTCCCAATCTAGGTCAACACCGTCAAAGCCGTTGCTGGTCAGAAACTTGACTGCAGACGATGAGAAACTGTTCGGCAGAAAATAAAATCAGACACACCTCTAACATCTTAAAGTTAACCCTATCCGTACGCCGTGTTTTACTATCGTATCAATATTGACATGGGGAACTCTGTGCCGCCACTTTCCAAAGAGGAAATTTACTCGTTAGTCCGATCCGTATGCTTTGCATAGCAGTCTGTCAAAAAATTTTTTTTCAGAAATACTAAAAGTTTCAAAGAGATCATCGTATTAGAAGTATTCGATACAAAATGACCCCAGGGCGTACGGATAGGGTTAAATCACAAGAAACATCCTTTGGTGATACACATCTATTGGGACACTTTTTTTGAGAGGAAAGAAGTCTTTGGATTTGTAGAGAACGAAATTTTAAGTTTACTTGCCCATTTTCGGTATAATTTTAAAGAAAACACTACCAAACCTGTCTAAGACGACCATCCATTGTAGAGGAGAAAATTGGTCCTCTGAGACGTGTGGCCCTCTTAGACAGTGCCATTATGACAGAAAACGCAAGCGGTGGGGTGGGAATAGGTGTTATATCAGCAACACCGAATAATGAACTCACCCCGCTCATTTGCATATGAGCTGGGCCATGTGACTTTGTCTGGTGTGTTCGACCAGACAGTCGCCATTTCGGCTCGGCAGAATATAAGTTTGTGCATTTTCTATCCCCCTCGCGATTCTTGACTGTTTTGTTTTTTTGTTTTTTTGTTGTTGTTTTTTTTGGGGGGGGGTTTGTTGTTGTTTTTTATTTTATGTTTTGTTAACTTCTTGCCTTGACAGATGGAGGTAACGTTGGCACAGGTGTGATAATTGAGTCTCTTAAAGACATAAAAGAATATATCAATGTGCTGAGTCCCTTATGACAACATCATTTGTACAGCTGGTGATTGTCTTGGACAGGAGGTAGTTAAATCAGGAGGGACCAAGACACGCCTCTCCTATAAGCTGTTTCAGAACGCTATCAGGTCTCCTAGGGTAATAATATAGCGAATGCAGCTTGCTCTTGAGCAGGAATTAGTCCTGTAGAAATGCCATTTTAATGTCATTTATTATTACTGTCTATATCTCTCTCCCTCACTTTTCTCGTCTCGGGTGCGACTGTACTTTGGACTATTATATTTTCAGTTCCCCCAACTGCAAATAAATGGATAGCCTACTAGGACATTGGCAGAGACGTAACATGAGAATGACAATAGTTTGCGTTTAACAGGCTGCAACACAATACATCTTCAGGAGACAAAAATGGAAAATCGAAAGTAGAAACAAGCAGTGGGTTGGGTAACGGCTTTGGGGAAGGGAGGGGGTATTGCGAAGTCGCACGAGTCTTCGTGGGGGGAGGGGGGGTAGAGGGAGAGAACACAACTGGAAAATGTTTACGTGAGAGAAAGAGAGAGAGAGGGGGAGAGAGAGAGAT